ATTATGGTTATATTTTGTATTTTAAATTAAAATACATAAATAAAAATTGATTATTTTTTAGAACTTATGAAAATAAAATGAAAATATCTTATTAACAATATTATAAGTTGTTTTCAAAAATTATCTTAAACAAATAGTTTCACAAAATTTATACTAATAGGTAAGTTAAAATAAGTCAATGCAAACAATCTTTTAATCTCATTGATTTTTTTAGTTTATTTGTCTATTTAAACATTATTTTAATTGCTTATTTACATATATTTAAAATAATAGATTTTTATGTAGACTATAGGCTAATCAGACTTTAAAAAATGTCAAATTCAAATCTAAAAATAAACATATGAGAAACTATAGACTAGATTTAGGCTTAATTTTTTTTGACAGACTAGATTTAAATTTGACAAAATCTAACTTGACCCAACCTATTTACATCCCTACCTATCACCTTAATTTTTTTATCTTAGACCCCGCCTTAGCTATATTTTTACCATAATACCATTTATCATTTTCTTTTTTTATAAGTATAGTGTTTTTATTGAATTTTTAAAAAACTTATGAATTTTTACAGGATTTATGAAAAATTAATGAGTTTTTACCTTATTTTTAAAAGAACAATGAAAAAATGTAGGTTTTACACTTTTTTTTTAAAAAATGTGTAAAATTATTTTTTATACCAAATTTTTCACACATTTGATATAAAATCATATATATGAACTACCAGAGTTTCAAATTTTCGGTAGTATTAATTTTTTTTTTTTATAAATTTATTAGATATGAACTATCAAAGTTTCAAAAACTCAATAAAAATATATCGGATTTTCTAAAGTTCTGTAAAATTTTATAAAAATATAATAAAAATGCAAAAAAAAATTACTTTGTATCAGTAAAAAAAACTACCGAATTTCTTAACGTATTATCAAATATTTCAAAAATTACTCCTTTATTTTAGAATGAATTATTTTAATCAATAATAATTTTAAAATAGTTAAATAATAAAATAGATATTTAGTCAATATGAAAATTAGTTGAGTTGAGGTCAGGACAAAATCTCCATTATTTGTTATAAACGGTAATATTTGATAAAAGTAGCTTATACAGTTTTCTGTTACTTGATGTATCACTTCTTATCACTTTATTCGTAAAAGTAGCTTATACTGAGTTGTTTTTGGGAATTTTTTACTCATATGCCACAAGCTGAAATGGAATTAACCAAATTGCCACTAGCTGAAAAAAAATTTCACAAATGCCACTACTTCTTTAAGGGTTCGTCCTATGGTTGGACGACCCACTGAAAGTCTTCTGGGCGCAGCATGGGTTCGGCCAATGGATGGCCGACCCTGCTCTATGTCTTTTTTTTTTTTTTTTTTTTTAATTTCAGAATTAAAATGAGTTTTTTTTTATTATTTTTTGTTTTTAATAGATTTTTTTATATTTAAATGATTTAAATAATATTATATAATAATAAAAAATAATTTAATTATTTTAAAAATAATTTAATATAAATAATATAAATTTTACATTATATAATTAATTATTAAATATTAATAATTGTTTTTTACATTATATAATTAAGTATTAAATATTAATAATTGTTTTTTACATTATCTAATTAATTGTTTTTTATATATTAAAATTAGTTAAATGATATTTTATATTACCTAATAAGTAATTTAATTATTTCAAATTATTTTTTAATATTTTTATATATACAAAATGATAAATAATTATATAAAATAATAAATTATATAATTAATTGTTTAACTAAATAATTAGATAAAATAAAAAAAGATATTTTATTAATATTGATGAGTGGAGAAAATACATCATATTTATCTACGCAAATGACCGCCAGTTCCACACAATGTACTCTTTTTCACACGTTTCCCCCTGCCTAACTCTTGAGTTTGCCGTATTGGAGGTGATGTTGGAGGTGATGGGGTAGAGTCGGAAGTCAACTCTTCATTTTCAGGTTGACGTGATGTATCAAGCATGTCCACATCAGTAACCGAAAAACCTGGCCATTCCATGAGTTGATCATCCGTTAGGGTAAAGTTAGGGGCTGACTGGAATGGTTGGGTGAAAGTGGTTGGAGGGTTTTGTTGGATGGGAGGGTAATAAACATTGTCGGTGCGACCGGATGAACTTGGATGAGACATTGAAGGGTTAAATGTTTGGTGTTGTGGTTGGGGGTAAGAGAAATCAAAATTAGGCTGAGGGATCGGAGTGAATTGAAAAGAAGGTTGAAATGTGGCTTGTTCCTGATATTGTTGTCGATAGTAGTAGTTTGGTTGTGGGGTTGGGGTGTACGGTGTTGGTTGTTGAGAGGAGGTGGCAAAGAATGTAGTATGAGTGCGTTGATATGTTGGTTGGGGTTGTGGTTGTGTTGGTTGTTGAGAGGAGGCGGCAAAGAATGTTGGCTGGTTGAATGAAGATGTCTGTGTTTCAAATTGTGAAGGGTTCACCTGAGGCATTTCTTGAGGCATGGGCGAAGAGGATCTTTGTTGTGATGAAGACGTTGCATACTGACGGGGGTCCTCTAGGAACTGACCTTGAGAAGCGTGCATAAATGGAATGGATAAAAACCATTGCATATATTCAGCACTATGAACACAGTTACCGTTAACCATGTTACCTCGTAGGGTCAAATTTGTTCTGTTTCTCCACTCGTTATTTTCTTCTTTATTTATATTGCGCCAATGATCTCCCCATGTATTAGGCATATCAGTCTCATGTTGTTGACGTAGACATCTAGGCTGAGGAGGGATATCTTGTTGAAATCCAAACTGCAATTTGACCCTATCAGCCTGATGCATTTCAACGATATGGAAACTGATAATTGATGTTGTAGCGCTCCAAATCTGGCTATCTTGAAGGACGCATTCGGGGTAGCTTGGGTATGGCCTCCAAATAAACTGTTATAGAAAATATAAGTGTTAGAGTTTTAATACAATGGGTGACACATATTTAGAGAATGTTGTGTTAACAAACTTACATCGTTAGCCCTTAATCTGTCTAGTGCGAATCTAAATCCTCGGACGTAGTGCCGAGGATTATTTTGATAAGCCATGCCTCTTCGAACAAATCTTGCAATGTTAAAAAAAAAGATAAATAATTTAGGGATGGAAACAAAAAGAAAATAAATGATAAAGAAAATGTAAACAAAATTTACCTTGTTGCATAAGGATGGTGTGCAGTGGCGGGAGACTCTGGAGCTATTAGTGGTATACGCCAATATGTCCAAACACTTAGTAGTAGAACACACCCACCAATACTTTTGACCCCTACCATACATGCTTTACACATATGTCTATATAATGTAGCCAAACAAGCAGAACCCCAACTATATCTTCTGCATTTATCTAAATCTCCAACTAGGGGTATCCAAGAAGAATGCATATAGTTATGGCTCTTGTCTGGCATTAATACCTTAGCTATTAGTAATAAAATATATATTTTTGCATGTTGTAGATTTTCCTCATCGGTTGGTCTTGCTTTTTGTCGTAATCGTGCTAATGTAGTTTGTAGCCAAACAATTTTAACGTACCCTTTATGTTTATCAGATGTTGTAGGTTCTACGCCTAAATGTTCCATATATACATCACCTCCTACCTGAGTAGGACCATTCACGGCCTTACCATTCACGCGAAGACCCAATAACATACTCACATCCTCCAAAGTGATGGTACATTCACCTGTTGGTAGATGGAAAGTATGTGTTTCTGGTCTCCACCTCTCCAACATAGCGATTACAAGCTTTGAATCAACTTTGATCGACGAGATTTCTGCAACTTTTGCGAAACCAGCTCGTTCCAAAAACGGTTTAATTTCTTTGCTTGGTGCATCGATAGCATGAGAATGTAGTCTGAATCTCTCGCTATCGGACTGTTACAAATATAAAAACAAATAAATACAAACTTGTTGAATGATTGAAAATAAATACAAATCAATAAATTCAAATAGATAAATAACAGAAATGTGAATAAAAATAACATACAAATGCGGCAATATTGGCCGGTGTTCCCCGATGATTTTCTCCCAACCACAACATTGCAATTTAAAAATATTGAATTATTGATTTAGAAGTAAGTAGTGATATATGTTGAAGTGATGATTTTTAAAATGTGGATGTGCATTGTATTTATAAGAAAAATGTTGAAGTGGTGAAGTAGTGATACACACTAATAGCCTTTGGAAACTCACATGCATGCACCCTATACTGCACCCTATTATTTTTCATCAGCCTTAATGGATTCTTCTGCACCCTAATAGTTCAAACCCTAGAAGCATGCAACGACAAGTGGCTTGCATGCAAAATTACCTCTTCCTGGAAAGCTTGGATTGCTTGGATTGCAAAGATCAAAGCTATACAAGCCCACATTGCTGAAAAATACGGTTATAGAATCTCGTATCGGAAAGCTTGGATTGCAAAGATCAAAGCTGTAGAAGCACTTTATGGAAATTGGGAGACGTCTTACAATGACCTACCACAGTGGTTGTTGGTGCTGAAGACATATCTTCCTGGAACTGTTATACAGTTGGAAACATTGCCGATTATTACAGATGACGGAACCCAGTTGGGTGACAAACGAAAATTTCACCGACTTTTTTGGGCATTTGAACCGTGTATCCGTGGTTTTAGTTTCTGTAAACCAATCGTGCAAATAGACGGAACCTGGTTGTACGGCAAGTACAAAGGGACTTTGTTAATGGCTGTGGCACAAGATGGAAATGGTAACATTTTTCCGATAGCGTTTGCATTGGTTGAAGGAGAGACAAAGGATGGTTGGAGTTTCTTTCTCAAGAATTTGAGAATGCACGTGACCCCCCAGGCCAATCTTTGTCTAATATCCGACCGACATCCATCAATCAAGAGTGCTTACGATGATCCTGAAAATGGGTGGCAGTTTCCTCCATCTTCACATGTTTACTGTATCAGACATATTGCGCAAAACTTCATGCGTGAGTTCAGAAACAAAGCACTACGAAAAACAGTTGTCAACATGGGTATGTTTACATCTTCACAAGTTTTATTGATAATTTTTTGATCATTTTGTTTTACTAATCATTTTGTTTAATTATTTTCAGGATATGCACTAACAGAGGCAACATTTAACTACTACAGGGGCGAATTACGAAGAACAGATAGAGCAGCTTTGGAGTGGATTGACAATATTCCCAGAGCGAAGTGGTCGAGGGCGTTTGACGGAGGACAGCGGTGGGGACACATGACCACAAATTTAGCCGAATCTATGAACTCGGTACTTAAGGCTACCCGAAACCTTCCTATTACAGCATTGGTCAAGTCAACGTACTATCGTCTAGGATCGCTGTTTGGAAAACGAGGACACGATTGGACAAAACTGTTGGCATCCGGTCAAACTTTCACGAAAAACTGTATCAAGGGAATGGCCGACGAGGCTATTAAATCTAGCAGTCATAACGTCATTCAATTTGATCGCGAGAGATTCTGTTTTATGGTTGCCGAATGCATTAACCAACGCGATGGCCGACCATTAGGTACTTTTAGCGTTGATCTCAGGAGAGGGTGGTGCGATTGTGGGAGGTTTCAGGCATTTCATTTACCTTGCTCTCATGTAATCGCAGCATGTGCCAGTATACGACAGGACCATAACATGCACATACCAGATGTTTTCAAAGTTCTAAGTGTATTCAAAGTATACAGCCAAAGCTTCCTTGGACTACCCCACCAGCAAAATTGGCCAACATATGAAGGATTCACTCTTTGCCATGACGAGACAATGCGACGAAATAAGAAAGGGCGTCCAAATAGTACAAGAATTACAACTGAAATGGACGATTTTGAGAAAGAAAAGAGAAGATGTGGGATTTGTCGAGAAATCGGTCATATGCGGAGAAAATGTCCAAACGTGGCAGGCCCATCAAATCGGCCAGTCTAAAATTGATGTATTTTTCCCCTGATTAAATATTAATAATATTCTTTTTTTATGATTCAATTTATTCTTTTATATAATTAGTTATATTTATGAATTAATTATATAATGTGAAATATATATTATTAATATTAATATATATTATAATTTAAATAATTTTAATATTTCAAAAATATTATTATTAATATTAATATATAATAACATTTATTAATTTTTTTTAAACAATTAAATAGTTAAATATTACTGAAATATATTTTATAATTAATAAATTATATAATATCATTTATTAAAATATTAAAATAATTAAATTATTTTTTTATTATTATATAATATTATTTAAATCATTTAAATATTAAAAAAACTATTAAAAACAAAAAATAATAAAAAAAAATACATTTTAATTCTGAAATTAAAAAAAAAAAAAAAAAAAAAAAGGACCTAGAGCTGGGTCGGCCATCCATTGGCCGAACCCTTGCTGCGTGAAATATGGTTTCATTGGGTCGTCCAATGGTTGGACGAACCCATCCTGACTTTGTGGCATTCCTGCAAATATTTTCCAACTTGTGGCATTCTGGTTAATTCCATTTCAGCTTGTGGCATATGAGTAAAAAATTCTGTTTTTGGAGCTCAAATTTAGTTGTTTGATTATAATCATTAAACTCATAATCATCATAATTCATTTGTCACTATCTTAATTAGTTATTATATCTCATAATGTCACTTTATTGAATTTTCTCATGCTGAGGGTGACAACTTCCGTGATCACAGGAACAAGAACGACATCACAAATACCTAGAGATTTCAATCAAGTTTGTTAAATTAACTGTTGTAAATTACTGGATTAATAATTAATAATTAATAAACTTAACTGTGTTTTAAAATAATAAGAAAATATGTAATTGATGGTTAATTTTTTAATTCAAAAATAAATAATATTTAGGAAATGTTGTAATAAGCCGTTTTTGAATTCAAAAATAAATGACACTACGTGAAAGTACAATATTATTATCTATAAATTAAGCATTTCGAATTTAAAAATTTTATAAAAACACGTATATATTTTACACAAAATTCTAGAATTTAAGATAATTTGAAAGTGATTTAAATACTATAAAAAAATTAATATATTTAATTTATAATTAATTTCCTAACATTAATTTTAAATTGAAGTATTAAATAAAGTAAGAAGAATGTTATACCAAAAAGTGAGGGAGAAATGAACACCTTCATTCACGGGAATACTTCAATGTCAAAGTTGGCTGGAATTTGCACGACCTGCTTGTTAAAACTTAAAATAATATGAATTGCACAATTTGTTTTTCAAGATTAATATCTATGAAATTTTGATTTTTTAATAGCAAATATAATTGTTCTGGTCTAGGCCCGGCTTAACCAGACAGACTCAGCCCAATAATATTCTGTAAAATTCAATTCAGTTTTGGCAACAGCCGTCGAGCACGGAGTGCCAACCAATCCAGCTTGGACCACAGCCGTCAATTATTTTCTTTTTAAATCAATCGCGACTTGACAAGTGGCAAAATTACTTTTTCAAATTTCAAATTTCTCGTACATTTCATTTTCCCACATTTTCTCTTTCATTTTAACTTTTTCTCTTTTTATTTTTTTCTAACACAATATTTATTTTACTTTTAATCAACATTAATTGAGTATATATTATCATTGTTAATTTTACAATTAAATGACTCATTTCAAATTTAGAAGTATATCTAAATATATTGTATACCATGTTAAATTATAAAATATTCAATAGTAATGCAAACAACTAACTTTCTATGTCACATGTCATTATCACCACAATACTTATTTTATTTTTAATCAATACTAATTGAGTTTTTAGGATCATTATTTATTTTACAATTAAATAATTCATTTCAAATTTAGAAAGGTATCTAAATACATTTTATACTGCATCAAATTGGATAATACTCAGTAACAATGTTAGACAACTAACTTTCCATATCGCAGATCATTATCAAGACAACATCTATTTTATTTTAATCAATAATTGTCTTTAGTTGAGAGATACAATTTTTTGTTTCGGATGTCAATTTTTTTTTTCTTTCTCTATCTCACGAGTTCCATTTTTATTTTTGCAAGGTTATTTAATACAATTGAGATTATATGATTATTGTTCATTTTACAATTAAATAACTCATTTAAAATTTACATATATAACTAAATACATTTTATACCGTATCAAATTGGATAATACTTCATAGTCGTGGTGCAGACAACTAACTTTCCATTTCACATGTCACTATCAGCACAATACCTATTTTTTTAATCATCAATTAAATTTATATGATTATTGTTCATTTTACAATTTAGTACATTATTTCAAATTTACATGTGTATCGATATACATTTTATAGTACCAAATTGGATAATACTCAACAGTCATATTCACGACTCACTATCAACACAATACATATTTGATATAATTAAGTTTATATTATCATCATTTATTTTACAATTAATTAGCTCATTTCTAATTTACATGTATATCTAAATACATTTTATATCGTATCACGTATATTTACCCGTGCGGACGCACGGGTTGCCAGTTGATCTATAAAAAATGTCAAAATTGAAACCCAACATAAAGAAACTTATATATGTGTCCATCAAAACTCATGGGGGTAGTGGAGTGAGGAAAATGATTTTCAATTCATAACCATGATAAATCTCAGCCCATTGAGTTGGATTCTCGTACTTTAGATCTTGGTCTTGACCCGTCCCCTTCTCAAAGAATTTGGCCAAAATACAAAAGCAACTATTTTTTCTCATTTTTAAGGAGTTAGAGACTTGTTCAATTTCCTATTTTTCCTCCTTCAGACCTCCCAAGCACACGAACCTTAAATGGTCATATTGTTCATCTTCTTCCAAAAATGAGAAGAATGATTCATATATATTTTGGGAGGTTCTGCTCTTTGTTGTGATTCCACCTCTGATTCAGATGTTCTCCAAGGCAATAGGCGATTTTGGAAGGCAAAAAATGTGGAAGCACCTCACAAAATATGAGAAAAACTGTGAATTTTGGGGTCAATGGCGTTGTGGAAGACAAGATATGGTTTGTTGGAACCAATGTAGTGAATGGAGGATTATCTATTTCTTTTATTAATGTGTATTCATCATGCTTCATACATAATAAACGAAAACTTTGGTATCAATTATTTGAATTCAAGAATAAATTCCCAAAAGGTGAGTAGTGTGTGGGTGAAGATTTTAATTCTATTAAGAAGGAGAAAGAGAGGAAGGTTAGAGAACTCAGGTTAACAATTCTGAGATGGCATAATTTGGATCTTTCATAGATAAATGGAACTAGTAGGTGTATCTCTCATTGCAGGGAAATTCACTTGGTATAAGTTGGATGGTAGTTCCATGATTATAATTCATAGGTTCTTAATTTTGAAAGTTTTACCAGAATCTGGGAAGATTGGTATCAATTCGTGGGAGGCAGGGACTTATTAGATCATATTCATATTTGTATTAAAGGAAATTTAGCAAATTGGGGACCAAAGCCCTTCAAACTTTTAAACGCTTGGATGAACCATGAGGAATTTAGACGCGACAAATTTTTGGCATGCTTTTGTATTTCATGGCAAAGTAGTCTTTGTTCTGAAGGAAAAGTTTAAAGCCTTAAACTTAAAAAGTTGGAATCATGGGGTGCTTGGTTTGCTAGAATTATTAGAAGTTGAAAAGTCCTTTAAGTTAATGAGTGACCTTAATCAACTAGTTTCATCAGGCTTTCTAGGGAACCACGACCAGGTGGCAAAAATTTGCACTGAGGCTTTTGTCGGAACAAAATTGATTTGTCCCATATCCCTTAGTTTTTTATGATAAAAAAGTATTTAAATAAAAATTGGGTATCCTAATATTTGTTCAAGTGTGCAGGACCATAGACTAAAACTTCATAAAGAATTCAAGTATTAGTTCTGATTATGGACATGTGAAAAGATGCTTAAAGACTAGAATCTGATGGGTCAGAAGCTAAATACCAGATCCTGAAGAAGTCAACTTCTGAAGAGGTCAACATCTGATGATCATAGTCTGAAGAAGTCAATATCTAATGACCAGATCCTGAAGAAATATGCTTCTGAATATCAGAACCTGAGCTAGTCAAAGCGAAAGGACCAGGTCTTTTATAGGTCAATGTTCACCTCTGGGTCTACTTTTTCACACGAAGACCTAAAGATCTATTTTCTCATATAGTCAATTGGGATACAACTACCAATTCCTTTTGTAGCAAATATTTTTTAAATTACCTTTCACCTAACCTGACAAATTAGGAAAACATCACAACATCTCTTTTGAAGCTTCTCAAAGGACTCTACTGTGTTTCATCTTTAACGAATATTTTCTTCTCTATTTAAGGAGCTAAAGACTTGGAAAAAATACATATACACAAAGATGATTTGATACCAATTGACACAAAAAAGAGAATTTACTCGGTTAATATAACAAACACAAGCATATTATTTCTCAAGCTAAAGACTTATTAAGGGATTTCTTATCCTTGTATACTTACAAATCCCTTAGTCTTAATAGAGTCTACTATATTGTATTATTTATACACCTCTAATTGTAGATCAAGTGTATCTTACCCAAACAAGCAATGGCATGTTAGGTAGATTGTTAGAAGCCTCTTACTAAGTGTTTGAGCATTTGAAGTCTCTTTCTTGTATGCTTGAACATATAAGTCTCTTACTTTAGTGTTTGAGCATTTAAAGTATCTTGTTTGTATTCTTGAGCATAGAAGTCTCTTACATGTGAATTTGAGCACTGAAGTCTCTTGCTTGTGTGCTTGAGAAACTTGTAATATTGAGTGATTATAGTGAAAATCTATTGTAAGTACAAGGGGGTTGAATTAATCTCTAGTTGTGAGAGGAACCAGGATAAATTTGTGTGTCTATTTACTTTCTTGCACTTTATATCCACTACATACATCTGATAAAAACTATTACGCTAGCTTAGAAAAAGGTTTA